TGAACTTTATGGAAAAGCACACATTTTCAACTCAAATAGTCTCAAAAGACTGTGGGTTTGCTGGGCTCAGTGTCTGCTTCCTTGAGAAGAGAGGCTGATGCCTGTGTTTTGAGATGCAAAGTTTTACATCCTATTGCTGTTTGTAGTTTCAAGACCAGTGTAAAATACCTGTGCTGGCATGCCTAAGGGCCCTCCCTTTTCCTGAGCTCTGAGCAGTGGCTCAGAGCTTTAAATATTACTGTGTACAAGAAATGCTAGGTAGCCCTCCACTGATAAAAGGACACGGTATTTTCAGGTTCTCAGATTTAAGCTCCAAATCTCGAGGAAACCTGGCATCACAGCGAAGCGGTCATACCTACTAGTTGGCAGCCTACATACTTTGTAACTGGTTTTAGAAATTAAGACTACTCGTAAAACAGTAAGTACTCTAACTAATCAAACAAGCGTGACCCTCCTCACTGAGTCACTTTTCACTGAAAATAAGTTTTTGTCAAGGTTTTTAAGGTTTCTCAGCTTTTCCCTCTATTAAATTAGACACCCTCTTACAGGTGACTGAATTACCTGGATTTATGTGAAAATCTATAGTCTCATCAAGTAAGAAATATGCAAAGTTAGACTTGTTTATAGAACGTTCTACCCGACTGGACTCAGCCGAGTGACCCCAGGCACCCTAACCCAACGTGCTTCTCGCTTCAGCTGTGCTGAGCCCAGCGCTGGGCTGCAAGCCCATCTCCCCTGTTCTCCAGCACGATCAAGCTGAAATACCTCTGCTGCGAGTGCTGGCCGTAAACACCCACCTCATTCGCTTACATCTGGTTAAACTAAAATGTGCTTTCACGTTTTGATTAAAAACTCAGCTTCAATTTACAAACCTTTAAGTTGGAGACTAATTTTAGTGTCATTAGCTGGGCTAAACATTACATTTAAATTGCAAATAACTAATAACCTTAATATTGGAGAACTCAGACTTTAACAAAAGATGTTAGTTTGCTTATAAGACACGTGCATAAGGCGGAGCTTTTGTAATTCTGACATTTTTTAATGAACTGTAAATC